ACCACGCTGTCTCAATGATCCACACTGTTAATATGAGAGGAAAATAAATGTTTTAGGAAATGAAAAATATGAAGTTAACAAATAAAACACAGCTCAGGGGCATCATGGACGGTAGGTTTTCCTACAAAGTTAACTCAGCCTCCATTGATTTTCACATCAAATTAGCGTGTTAATAAAATAAGCTATCATGGCTTATACTTGCATATCTAAACAGAATCATGAAAGCCTGTTGGTAGAGTCAGGCACACGAGTCCGTTTGAGTATGTGCGCCGGTGTCTGAACGCTCACTCACTGCTAGCTATGTAGCTAACTGTCCCTGCTGTTAGGCTACTTAGCTTGCATTGTTATGGATCTAAAGGTAGCAAAAGCTAACTTTCATAGCACAGCTTTTCTTTACTTCTCACTTAACACAATAATGAAACAGACCGTATAGTACAGCACAAACAACACAAATGATCAATACTTACATATAATTTCACTTGTAGTATTATAATCATTGAAATGCTGGTTCTTCTGGGGGTGTTCTATCCACGCTCAGCTGCACTGTACATTCGCTGGAGGACTGGGCTGTCACTCAAAAGCTGAGTAGCCAATGGGGACGCACCCCTGAAAGTCCCGCCTACCTGGGACGTTTGTGTCACAATTGAAAACAAAAAATGAGGGAGCGCAAACGAGAGAGCTGCAGCGAGAGCAAAAGTCTGATCATTGAGAAAGAAGCAAAGAGAACTGCAAACAAAAATATGTTAAAACAAAGAAAAAAAGACTTATACTTTACATGATTACACAAATGATTTGTTTGCAACTTATAGTTTTATTTTTGAAATTACATTTATTTTGCTTGACTCAGTTTTTTTTTCTCTTAAACTCTTAGTTTAGCTTGATTCTGAGAAAATGTTGCTTTATCTTTATGACACAAAACTAATCCCATACTCCCCTCTCAATTTACAGGAAATACAAATTCAGGTTTCAGGAAGTTTTTCTATCAGTGTGTTGTGCTCACAACCTCTGTATACATCCATGGCTCACAATGAACATATCAACTATATATACTATATACTACAACTGAATTGTTTGTGTTATGTATTATTGATTTCTGTTATGTATTATTTACTTATATTAAGGTGAATCAAAATGTGTTGTATGCAGTGTTGGGACTAACGCGTTACAAACTAACGCGTTACTGTAACGCAACTACCTTTTGCGGTAACTAATAACGTTACTAGTTACCTATTCCCATTCAGTAACGCCGTTATAGTTACTGTGATTTAAATGGGTGCGTTACTGCGTTACATTATGTGGTCCAACTGAACCGAATCTCTGTGCGATGTAATTTACAGGCGAATACAGTGATGTCCTCTCACAGTACCATGGAAAGGTGAAAGTGACCAGAGAGGAGTGATGATTGATTAACGCGGGGTAACATTTCAGGGTAAGCCAATCAGAGACAGAGTTGGGCGGGTCTTGTCTATGGGGAAAATACACAGACACACAAACACAACACTTGCTAACACACACACATACACGGCAACGCCCACCACCAGCACACACACACACAATGGCAGATGCAAGTATCAGCGAGAGCAGCAGCGCATTTACAACTTGGAGATATAACCACTATTTTCAATTTGTGGGGATAAAGGACGCAAAAAATATTACGGTCAAATGTAAACTGTGTGCAGGACAGAAAGCATTGTCCACATCGAATAACAGCAATGCCAATCTCCTGAAGCACCTAACTAATGTACATGGGGCCAGGGTTCGAGTTATAAACTGAGCTCTATGGGGGTCTTTGAAACTAACACACACACACACACACACACACACACACACACACACACGTTACTATTTAAAAATTGCAAATGTATTTGAGAACCTATCCATGTGAACATATTTTGGGGGTGGACCTCAAATCCCTGGTAAGATATTTTTTTAATTTTGGAGTTAAATGCATCAATCTGGTGCATTTTGAGGGGGAAATAAAGAGACTAGATCTATGGAAACACCCATATGAAACAGATGCCACATCATGTAGACAGACAGTCACCCTGTGTGAGGCAAACCCACATTTGCGCAGCGTTGCGTTCACAATAGCCTACATTAAAAAAAAAAAATCGCTAGGCCATCGGGAAACCTCCCGGCCCTCCCGATGGCCAGTCCGGGCCTGCCAGCAGCCCTCCACTTGCTACAAACTTAAATATGAAAACATAGCCGTGGGAACATTTTTCAAATGGGGGGTGCTGTGGGGATGACACCAGGGCCGGTTCTGACCAATTTGCTGCCCTAGGCAAGATTTTTGCTGGTTCAATTATATCTTATTTTATCAGTTAACATTTATTTATTCATCCATATTTTTTAATCTCTCCAGTTTTAAAGGATATTGTTGGTTTACTGTCCTATAGTATGCAAGTGCCAAGAGCAAGGACTGTCTTAGGTAAGACAGCTTTTATGTGCGCAGCTCCACTTGCTTGGAACAATCTTCAGCAAGAATTGAAACTGAGCAATCTCATTCCTCTGCATGTTTTTAAAACTAGGCTAAATGAAATGCTCGTTGATACTATGGGCACTTGTAAATGTCTATAACTATGTAAATGTATCTTGTAAATATAATGTATGATGTCCTTTATTGTTTTATGTTTCATGTGGAACCTCCAAAGTAACTTCCTGAAATGTAATTGTCTGCGGTGATTCTACGGAGTCCCCAAAGGCCCAAAATTGTGCACACAAAACATATTTTCGGCTGCCCGGGCCTAAGGAAGTAGCTCTACTTATGAAATCTCTGTTAGTTTAAACTCCCACTTCACTACTTTACATTCAAAACAAATAGCTTATAAAATGTGGCACGGCATTATTGATAAAGCTACATATTAGTCTATAAAATAGTTACATCATACTTATCTTAACCAGCAACACCAATAAAATACTGCTACACATAAATGCATTGCAAATAATCATCAGTTTTTATTCAATGCATATAGAGGCAACTGAACCACACATCAACATTTCATCCATGCATTTCTTCACTTGTCAGTTGTTGTTCAAGCTCTCAAACAAACAAGCGGGCAGTACATCACATCGGCTCTTTTTCTGCTACTTTGACAACATGGTTGCAACCGGTTTTCGTGCTGTGATGCCAATTTTCATTTTTTTCTATAGTGAGTTGATGATTTCATAAACTAAGAGTGAGGTACATTTTCGCCTCGCAAATTTTCCATCCAAATGAAGCAACATTTCTAAATCATTTTCAGACAAATTTGACTACACATGTTAGTGTTGTTAGATCTTATTGTCTTATATTTGTGTACAGCACTTTGAATTGCTTTGTGTTGAAAGGTGCTCTATAAATAAACTTGCCTCGCCTTGCCTAGTGATGACTCACAATCTACTAGGATTAATAAATGTCCAAAGTGTCTATTACGTTAGTAGGAAATCCAACCTAGAGCAACTGAGCATTGGAATAAAACATGTTGTTTCATAAGGCCCAATGAGAACAAACACATCTAAACGGGAAAGTGTAAAAACATGTTGAATCATGAAACATCTGCTAGAACAAGACACACCAAGTTTTTGTTTTTCTAAAAACAAAACAATGAGGTAGATACTAGCTGTCATTTTTTTTAAGGAGGGGCAGCTTGGGCGTATTGTTGTACATAGCCGTGGGAACATGTTTCAAATGGGGGGTGCTGTGGGGATGACACCAGGGCCGGTTCTGACCCATTTGCTGCCCTAGGCAAGATTTTTGCTGGTTCATTTATATCTTATTTTACCAGTTAACATTTATTTATTTATCCATATTTTTTAATCTCTCCAGTTTTAAAGGATATTGTTGGTTTACTGTCCTATAGTATACATTGGAATGATTTCAAACCTGTTTTTATTTATCCTAATAATTATAAAGGTGTGCCTTGTGATCAAACCGTTTGAGACCCACTGAGATAACTTAGACTAAAGTGAACTATCTAAACACTCAGAGTCCTTTACCTCACTGAGCCTCTCAGGGCACATGGAAAATGTAACCGGGGTGAAAAGGGTGTTACCTTTACTTAATTATGAATGTGAACATCAAGGCCGAAAATTCGTTTTTTTTGTATTATATTTGTATTATATTTCCATTTAATCTTGTGGACGTGCAGATTCCCTGTCCTCCATCAGGGGGTGCTGCAGCACCCTCAGCACCCCTACTTACCACGGCCCTGTATGAAAAGGTTCAACTGCGCACACACACATAATCTCGGCTCGCGCAGCACGCTAACAGGCATAGATTGTGCAATAAAGTATTGCGCACCTTGGAGGTGCAGCGCAGGCATATTGTTATTCAAGAGATGCGTTGTTCTTTTGGAAAACATGTTTTTCTTTTCAATAATACTCATTACATTGACACATGCATTATTTGTGATTAAAATAATGGTTGTTGGTAATGTATTAGCGACCCCCACAGATGTATGATTTCACTGCGTCCGTGGGAGCTCAGACCCCTCCTTATGGGAGCTCAGCTCCCATTGGCTCCCACATAACTCGAACCCTGCATGGGGCTATAAAACTAGTCGCCAAAGACCCCACCGTCTCAACCACCGGTGTTACCGTTTAACTGGTGACACCGGGGAACTCGTGACGTTCTATAACGGCAGGAATGTGTCAGGGGCGTGTACTTTGAGAAGCGACGAATAACCAGGAAATACACATTTCGATCGCTTCTTCTGTTGTTTACATTTATCTTTTGGTATATTTGGCTCCATAGGAAAACTTTGATGCACATTCAGTACCAGTGTGTGAGGTTGTGGTTGCGATGCCGATATCCGGACGCGTACAGCGAGGACTACACAATGACAATGAGGTGACTGGGGATGTCTGTTCAAAACATTGCAAACGTGAATAAATCATTTCAAATATATATTTGTCTCCGACTTTCATTTGTACATCGTTGTTAATGTGATGTTTAGTAGCTTTGATAGCTGTTCATACCTTCAGACAGCCTAAAAGTAAGACACAAGTTGTTTACTCACAGCCCGAATGCAGCATCGAGATCCGTGGCAAGCTGTGATCCTCTCCGATTAAGTTGTGACAGGACTTCTGTAGCTATTCTCCAGCGAGTAAGGTTTTTATTAAATACCTCCATCCCTCTCATCACAACAACAAGACTCTACACTGTGCAGAAAAAATACAAAATAAATGAAAATAACCTTGCTGGATAGCTTAGAATGAAACAAACAATCTTCCATGGCTGATATGTCACAGTAACGGGTAAACCACAGAAAAGTCGAGCGGGACACAAGTTGAATCCATATAATGAAATTGTTATTTTATATGTATATACATACATACATATATATATATATATATATATATATATATACATATATATATATATATATATATACATACATACATATATATATATATATATATATATATATATATATATATATATATGTAGATGATGATTGTTGAAAATGCACTTTTACCATAAAAAGCCAGCACGACCAGTTGGTTGAGGCTCATAAAAACACAACCGTGTAGTCAGTCAAAAAAAAAGTAGTTTGTGGTAGTTTGTGTCCCATTTGATAAAAAAATACAAACAAATAATTGTTCCATAGATTTTTTCTTGGTCTGGCAATTAAAGGGTTAAGCCTATATGTTTAAGCAATTATGTCTGCCTTCCCCGTCTTGCACCATTAGGACCCACTGATATAAAATGCTTAACTGCCTAAGTTGCAACTATGCACTTTGTGGTGGGCTAAGCGCCAGCTTCACATATTTTTGGCTACATTTAAAGTGCCCAAATGTAAGTTTAGATATTATGCAATGCAAAGTTTTTCTTGGCCTACATCAGTGTTATAGAAGGAAAGACAACAGTGATAGTTATGTTTCAGAATAACATTTATTGGAAATTGTTGGAAAAATATCACTTTTCACCAGCTTGAGCTTCAATCTCAGGATCCATGTATTTGTGATCCTCTCCAGAATGGAAGGAGTCATCACATACAGAGCATCAACTAGTTCCTGAACAGTGTCCTTCACATGCTGATATCCAAGAGAGGGAGTTACACAGTCACAAGATGGAGGAATAGAAAGCAGTATTCAATGTTTACTTCAGATTAGCTCCACGTCAGAAATGATCATGCTTGTCATCTATCTCCATAGAGGCTGAATCATCATGTTAATCACATAGCTATCATATGCCTAAAGGGAGGCATGTGGGTTAGTGCGTTGGTGTTCGGATCAGGGACACTTCACCCCAAATTGCTCCTGTGGGGATTGTCCACAGTATTGAGTATGTAACTCGCTTTGGATAAAAGCGTCTAACAAGTAACATGTAATGTAATGTAAAACAGTCCTGATGCTCTTCTATTTATTTAATTGTTTATTTGGCAGGGACAATGCACAGTAATGAACACTTAAAACATTCAAATGTATCAAGCGTAACAGTGCCAGATTTAGCTTTGAGCTAATTTCCATCCGCAGTCCCTCACATAAAACATTTAAGAAAATTACATTTTACAAACATAGCAAAAACAAAATACATGATATGCAAAAAGTGCAAAAGAGCAAGAGCAGCACACACAAGCATTTACCACATGGCAGTACAATATAGCAGCAACGACATATAAAGTGCAAGAGAAGATAAAAGTGCTACATAAAGTGCAAGAGGAGATACTGTGTTAAAGTGCATTTAGCGGTGATTGCACGTTTGTTTGTTTCTTAAACATTCTTTGAGTTGACCTTTAAAACTATTGAGAGTGGGACAATCCCGTATCTCAGTATAGGCTGTTCCAGAATGAGCTGCCTTTAATGGAGAGGACATTTTGTCCAAAAGTGGTCCGTCTGCGGTGGACTTCACAGTCTCCTCTGGTTTCTGACGTAGTGCAGCGTCCAGTGTGTTTTTTGTGGATGAATTCCCCTAAGGGAGGGGGGGGTCAGTCCATGTAAACATTTATAAATAAAACACATACTTTTAAAAGACTTAAAATTGTCAAAACTCAAGAAATTGTGTTTCTCAAGGATGGTACAGTGGTCTGTCTCGCTATCTATCTATCTCTCTCGCTATCAATCTCTCTCTCGATACTCACAAACCAAGAAAGTTGTGACACTTCCTCCGGTTTATATAGCCTAGACCAGGGGTTTTCAAAGTGTGGGAAGGTGAGCCTCCCCTCAGAGAATATAAGAACAGCCGCGCCCCCCCTCCCAATTATTATTGCTATTATTATTATTATTATTATTGTTGTTGCTATAATGCAGGGGTATTATTATCCAGTGGAATGCCCTTACCTACTGGCCTAGTTAAATCAAAGTGGTTACTTATTTTTGTCTGGGCAGTGTAGTTTTACACACCATCTTATTTGACTTTCTCAGGGCAGACCCCCACAAAGAAAAAAATATATGTACACACGTAAGGTCATCATCTTAACAGTTTTTAATGCTCGAGTCATCCGTGAGCAGAGCATCAAGTTGGCATGCCTATTACAGCTGAATGCGGCGATTACCATCTTGTTCAGCAAAACGCCTCACAAACGTATTAACATCCAAAGCTTTAGTGCGTTTTGATTCAATGCTGAGCACAGCCAAACTTGACAGTCTCTTCTCTGTCATTGTAGACCGCAAATACCTTATTCCTTCCGTGTACTTGGGTCCGAATGCTTCTCGTTTTCTGCCGCCCGTTCAAATGAAATCGCCGCCAATCACATTTCCTCGCTCGCGCCAGGGTTACAAGGCTCGCGTCTTGTGCTGCATTCACTTGCACTCGGACATCAGGGATTTTCTCTGATAAATGTCCGATGAGCCACAACTTTTATTTCAAAACAAAGCTGCCAACTGGGGTGGCCAGACGCTGTCTCCTCTCTCACTTTAGGTAACTTCACTAAAAATCGATCCATGTTGCCGCTCGCATAAAGTTAGCTGAAGTTAACGAGCTAGATTTCATTGTTTCTCTTTATTTTTTTCTCACGCTGCGCCTCCCCTGAAGCTCTCTGGCGCCCCCCAGGGGAGGCGCGCCTCACACTTTGAAAACCGCTGGCCTAGACAATCTAGGATAGAAATAAATATATATAGCATGTATATATATAGCATGTGTATATATATATATATATATATATATATATATATATATATATACACATACATATAAAATAACAATTTTATTATATGGATTCAACTTGTGTCCCGCTCGACTTTTCTGTGCTTTACCCGTTACTGTGACATATCAGCCATGGACGATTGTTTGTTTCATTCTAAGCTATCCAGCAAGGTTATTTTAATTTATTTTGTATTTTTTCTGCACCGTGTAGTCTTGTTGTTGTGATGAGAGGGATGGAGGTATTTAATAAAAACCTTACTCGCTGGAGAATAGCTACAGAAGTCCTGTCACAACTTAATCGGAGAGGATCACAGCTTGCCACGGATCTCGATGCTGCATTCGGGCTGTGAGTAAACAACTTGTGTCTTACTTTTAGGCTGTCTGAAGGTATGGACAGCTATCAAAGCTACTAAACATCACATTAACAACGATGTACAAATGAAAGTCGGAGACAAATATATATTTGAAATGATTTATTCACGTTTGCAATGTTTTGAACAGACATCCCCAGTCACCTCATTGTCATTGTGTAGTCCTCGCTGTACGCGTCCGGATATCGGCATCGCAACCACAACCTCACACACTGGTACTGAATGTGCATCAAAGTTTTCCTATGGAGCCAAATATACCAAAAGATAAATGTAAACAACAGAAGAAGCGATCGAAATGTGTATTTCCTGGTTATTCGTGGCTCCTCAAAGTACACGCCCCTGACACATTCCTGCCGTTATAGAACGTCACAAATTCCCCGGTGTCACCAGTTAAACGGTAACACCTGCAGTGACCCAGATGGAGCAACACCATCTAAACAGCCAAAAAACGATTTTTTTTAAATCGCCACATGTCACCCAGAGTCAACTAAACAGATTGATTGCCAGGTATGTTGTTGAGGACATGCTGCCCATCGCAACGGTCGAGTCTGTTGCATTCAGAGAACTAGTCAGCAAAATACCAGTGAAAGCAGTGAAAGCAGGGCCACAGTGCAGAAAGACCTTTTCCAACAACACAAAAACTTTTATTTTTATTGTTATTATTTTTAAAGTAAAGTAAAGTAACTTGTTACTAGTTACTTTTATAATTTAGTAACTAATAAAGTAACTAGTTACTTTTTTGAGAGCAGTAACTTTAACTGTTACTAGTTACTTTTTTAAAGTAACTTGCCCAACACTGGTTGTATGTAAGAGAGTGCTACAGCAGAGATCAATGACATTCCCTGGTCAGCTGTAGTATCCAAATGAAGGACAAATCTCAGGTTGAAAGATACATCCTGTAGATCAGGGGTCACCAACCTTTTTTAGGGTGAGGGCTACTTTAAAAAAATAAAACAAGTCGGGGGCTACTTTTACTTTTCTTTTCTTTTTTTGCGGTGTATATATTTAGCACATTTTAACATTATGATATGCTGACCTTTAACCTTTGTGTGCTGTTTGGGTCTGCGGGACCCGTTTGCAGTGTTTACTAAAAGAACATGTATGCAATCTAATTATTTTAACCTGCTTTATTTGGGGGTGGACGGGCCTCACCTCCTCCAGGGGGGTCCTCACCTCCTCTAGGGGGGTCGGGGGGCATGCACCCCCAGGAAGATTATTTTTTAATGTTGAAGTGAAATGCATCAAACTGGAGCACTTTGAGCACAACATGAATTGATGGATACAGCTCTCAACACTCATATGAAAGAGAGCTGTATACTTTTCAATAATCCAAACATCTTTACAATATGATCACAACCAATAACAAATCATTTAAACTGGTTTATTCTTATCTTATGTTACCTAGTTAGCATTTTTTCTTTTTATGTATGCTTATTTTACTAATCACTCCCCTTTCAAACTGTTTTTTGATTTTTTTTTATCTATATTAAATAGATAAAGGTATGCTCTCCCTAGCTCTCTCTCTCCCTCCCTCCCTCCCCCCAGCTCTCTCGCTCTCTCTCTCCCCCTCTCTCTCCCCCTCTCCCTCCCTCCCTCCCTAGCTCTCTCGCTCGCTCTGTCTCGCTCGCTCACAGAGGCTGTGAGCTCCTCCGTGGCGATCGACGGCTTGCGTTAAAAAAAAAAAAATAAACATATTTTTAAAGTGGGGGGACACAAACGGGATTTCGAAAAGTGGGGGGGACATTTCCCCCCTGTCCCAGGTGGAAATTACGCCATGCGTGTGTGGTCAAGTGCAATAAAGATATGCAAGTTGCAACACACAGAGTAAAGCTCTGCCCCCCATGTGCTG